ACCCAGGTGGCGCCATTGGCTACATTGAGCGTGACGTCATCCATATGTCATATTGGCACAAAGCATGCTCGCATCAGTTTCTACGGAGAGCTTGCACATGGTTTCAAGCAACTCTAGAAGAACACCGATAGTGTAAACGTAAGAGAATTCGCATCCACTGAACTGGTGGTGCATTCTGGGCACAAAAGCAGGCCCGGGAGGCTGAGTGCCACCAGAAACTTTGTACCCATGATACGGCAGGCTTCCAAGCCGCGCTAAATTGCGGACGGGAATGCAAGCGCCGGTGGCGGCTGGTTCCTTCAAACCACGCCACCAAAGTAGCTCACGATGTTTTTTTTTTTCATTATCCATTTAAAAATAATACTATTTTATGACTTCGCATATGTCCAGCTAATGCATACGCCTTTCTAATGAGCTGTCATGCACTTTTCTAGTTCAATGACCAAAGCGAGTTCTTGACGTTAAATACAGAGGTTTCATGCCATTAAAAAATAAATTCACATGGTTTCCCACACAATCTGTCATACGTCCAGCTCCAACATTATTTTGATTTGGTGGCGCGTTGAATAGGCCATCAATGCATATTTTATATGTATCTTTTGAATGTGTCAAGTTTCTGAAAAAAAATCAAATTTCGCAACTTAATTCTACTTTGCTCGTGCCAAAAACCATCAAAGAATTGACATGCATACACAAGTCTATTGTGACAGTTACAGACCTTCATTACATTCCCGTAAACACCGTTTTGTCGAGTGCATCATGTAAGCATCCCATGCCTAAAAATGTTTTATAATGCCGCCTAAGCGCAAACACAAATCGAAGTGAAAATTTTCGGCAACAGAAATAAGAGCAGAACAAGTTTTGCGCATCAAGAAAAACTATGAATGTTTTTTCAGTCATATTTTATGATGGTAGCGAAAACGCTCTTTCCTTTGGCATGAAATGACCTTTCAGCGAAACCAGAGAACACGTCAGCCTCAGAAAAATACAGCTTTCATAGGTAACGAAAACACGCGTACAACACCAGCAGCCACAAAGATACTCAAGGAATACAGAATGTCCTTAAAGAAACATGTGTGGAAGCTCATTATAGCTTCTGAAAATTGAAAATCGCCTATTTTTCCGCTCAACGAAAACCGGGAAATAATTCGAAGACTAAATGGTGCAAACTGCAGCTGAATTGGGTGTCCATGAGGCCCATTATATGCCCACAGCAGAGAAGCAACAATGCAGACAACACTTTAAAAAACTAAAATGATGTATATATATATATATATATATATATATATATATATATATATATATATATAGTGGGAGTAATATTTCAATGGGCCAGTTAGTCTTCGTGAAGGTATAAGATATGGCACAACGGGAGCGTTGTCAACAAGGATAAATATATTTATTTACCAACAGTCCTGGTGGTTGTGGGTTGTTATATAGTACGAAATACATCGCATACCTAGATGTCATATACTGCACAAGTCAGTCGTCCTCCGTGATCATAATTGCCATCATGTTCATCCTCATGGTCATGACGTATAGTGGGTATCTTGCATGTGCTGCGCCATGACGGCAGAAAGAGAATGTGAGGTCTGGAACGCGCTTGTTTTTCATCGGAACTGCAAAATACGGGCCTTGTTCACAGGCTGCTTCACACCTCAGACAATGAAAAGAAGTTCTCAAGCATACAGTTTCCTAAATATACACAACAGGGACCACTGGCGGTTGTGTCTATTGGAGCTGCAACGCATGGCGCTTCAGCGAGCATTGGAATTATGGGTAGTACATGGATTTGCCCGATCTTCGTAATTTATGCTCTGTCTGGCTTGGCGTGGCTTGAAGCTGTTTTGTCACAAAACAACAATAGACAAATGCTCAGCAGTTACACTTCCCCACCTTAATCTTTTAGTCTCACCGCTTCAAATAGAGTCACGAAGTGAAAAAACGGTTCGTTCTTTCCTTCGAAACGAACCCGAAACACTGAAATAAACGAAGGTACAAGTGCGTTCGCTGCCCCCAAGCTCGAAGGCTATAGGCGAATCCGTGTCACACCCATAATTGCCATGGTCGCTAAACGATCGCAGCGCCAGAGTCGTCCCTATTTAAATTTAGGAAACTATGTGCTGAAGGTTTTCGTGCGCGCTAACGAAGTGGCCCCGCCCGCATCGTCTACTAGTTTGTGATTCCCTTCCCTGCGTAGCTTTCAGCACGCTCGCTAGCATGGAAGGAGAGAAAGCACCTGTAACTCCACTCATATACTCCGCTCAAAGTATGTGGTTCGTGAAGCGTCGGATCCTCAAAGAAGAAATATTCTATTATTACTCGGAGAAATGTTGTACGGCATCTTTAAATGGTAGCTTGTGATCTGGTGCAACTTCAGCAGTCGTGTTAACATATAGACGTAAGTTTTATTCAAACTAAGCGACCACAATAATATATGCGATTCATATTTCGCATGCGATGCTGCGAATATCATACTTATAAAAGTAGTATTCATAACTGTATTGCTCTGGAGTCGAATATATAGCCTGTTGAGTCATAGCAGTAGATACTCTAATGTTTATTAGGCTGTTATAAAAGCGAAGCCGACACCGGATTGAAAATTCGCGTTGCATCAACATGATCCATGCGCACAGGGTATTTTTCCAAAGCAGTTTCAAGACCTACCGTGGTTCTGTAGGTAGAATACGTGACAGCCAGCAAAATGCCTTGGTTCGATTCTTGCTGGGATCCACATTTTTGTTTGCATTCGGCGGGTCAACACGGCTCATATCTCACTTTCTTCGCATTATACCTGTCGAATTACCATTTAGTGTTCTCGCGTTTCGGGATAGATATACTGTGAATCACCTGCGGTGCATGCCCGTAAACCGCATTCCCATATTCCACGACCCGTGGCATACGAGTAGGTGCCATACGTATGTGAAGGAAAGGGTTTGATGACGCACACGCCAGAATTTTCAACGGTGTCATGATCCAGCCATCGTGTTCGTCGTGATGGCTGGGTAACCCGATTGAACTACACTTTTTCGTTGTCTTCTTCTAGCTCTATCACGCACCATTATTATAATTCATAAAGCAAATTAGAATTCTTTACGTACTATCTCGCTATTAGACACCCCTTACATATTATCTAAGAGATGTGGGCAGGTTTTTCGACTAAAAATAACAAGAAATCGGGAGCTTTTACAAGAAAAACACATGTGTATTAGCCTGAATGCATTCAGGGGGTTGGAAAAACACTAAGCCTTGGTGTCCCTTGTGTCCCAGGGTGAGAACCCTGGTGTCCTATATTTAGGGCATGAAGATTGTCCACTGCTGTGGGTGATGCGTTAGTGTTAGGAAAGATCCATTTTGTAAAAAGCAAGCTAGACATCTAAGAAACAACAGGAAAAATATGGTAGCTACTGGACTAATAGTTCACCAGTAAGGTGTCATTCATTATTTGGCTGTGGCAAGTTTCATTGTTATCGCCATCCACCATTTTATTGTTTACATTCTAGAGTTCTAAAGAAGACGACGACAAAGAAATTACTACCTATGCTTGCACAGGTGTGATGGGGATATTTCAGACACCTTTTTTTTTCAGTTTATGACTTCATTGTGTCACGTTTGGTGGCAAAATTGCTTCATGTGCTTTTTACAGGACGCCCGGGCCGAAAGGGTTGAGATGAAAGTGCACCAACTTGCCCAATTGTTCCTTCTGGTGGAAGCGTTAAAGAGCTCATTTCGCAGAAATTCCGGTGTCGGCGTCCATGTGGTTGGCTGTGTGTAGAAAATCGAAAGAGATGCATATAAACATACAAGAAAATATTTGCTTTTAGTCGCAGTCAATCCCAGGCCTTCTGCGTCGTAAGCAGGTGTTCAACCACAGGGCCATGCCCGTGCTTGAAATTGCTTCGGAAATACGCAATATATCACTGTTAAGTATTGCGAACACTGTAATGCTTAATAATGTGGGGAATAAGCATAGTAGGTAGCGCCGCGAGTGGCCAGTTTAGAGGCGCACCCATGACAAAGCGCTCCTGCATAACAAATAGCGACGCGAAGCAACAGCGTCAACAAACTGCGAATATGCGCAGGTGCGCGTGTTGCCTTACGGACCGGCAGTGGGTATTTCGCGGATTCGTAAAAGTAAGAATTATGACGTAGTGGGCAATTTCGCAACTGTACTTGCCCTATAGGCATTCTAGACTACTTTGAGACAACCTATGTGACGCTACCAGACGTTCCATTTCTTGCGGCATGGCTGATCTGTCATCCGAGAAGCCAAACTAGGCTAGTGATTGAGAAGGCGATTGTGATAGTAATAATACCTGAAGTTTTACGTCCCAAACCACAACATTATTACGAGGCCCCCCGTAGTGGACGGTTCCGGAAGTTCCGAATATCTGCTGCTCTTAAACGTACACACTGGCTTAAAGAATTTCCGCCGTCAGTGATGTGTGGCCTTGACGGCCTGCGTTCGATCCCATGACCTGCAGTTCAGCGTTCCAGCACCATGACCCCTAGGCCACCGTAGGTTTCAATTTATTTATATATTGCCGATTACGGACCATTTACAACCTATACATGTCGCAAAATCCACATACATACTAAAATACATAACACACAAAACATGTCACTAGTCCTATACTCGGAACAGTGTTGTCCCCCCAAAATTTCTTCAATACTGCTCAATCCCCGGCATCCTTTTAGGTGCAGACAACTCCACATTAATACTTTCAGTGAAGGCCGACATACTTTGCTAGGCCATCGTGGCGGGCAGGAACGAATCAATCAAGAGGGGCGAATGCGAGAAGTGGCACAAACAGTAGATAGTCAGGTCACAGAATGTGCCACATCATTTCTATGTTCTTCGTCATTTTACCTGGTTCAATATTTCATCCTTAGTGCTACGACGCTTAAAGTTAGCACATCAGAGCAGACCGCGTTGTTGTCCTTGCGTGCATACTTGTGTCGTCGACATTCATCGCCTTGTCCACTTCACCTTTGTACAGGTGGAAGCGACCCTGGAGTCTCAACAGTTGGACATGGACGTCTGGCAGAACATCACCAAATACAGGTGGACTAAGTTCGAGGATCCGGTGACGAGAAGGATTTTCGAAAAGTTGTCAGTTCTGGGCACTGCCATTCTGAGCTCGGAGAAGAAGACTGAGGTAAGGAAAGTTCACTATGATGTGATCCTAGGAGAACGCGTTTTGTCCTTGGAACGCTTAATTACTGTGTCGAGAATCTTCGAGCATAGCTGAGAAACACGATGCAACTCATTCCTGTCTGCGCTAAAGGACATGTAAACAGCCTGGCTTGCTCATTTTTAGCAGATCATATAAAATCGATTACCGTCACGCAGATATCCTCACGGAGTTACCCGTATAGGGCTATTCACTTCGTGTCACTACTGTGCTGCTTCATTTAATAGAGAGTGGCGGAGGAGGAAAGGATGCTGCACATAGGCCAACAAAATATACAAAGAAACATGTATCGTGTAGCTTTTGCTTTATTACATACGTCGAAAAAAGTTTTATTACTGTGTGCACTTCAATGGAGGTATATGGAAAGACGACACTCCGACGGACGACGTAATGCAACGATTTCGCATTTTGCTTGCCGAATCAAACAATGTAGAATGCAGACTCACGGAGAGCTGAAATTCAACAAACTGGAGTTTTGTCTGGTAACCGGTAACGTGACTAAAATTGTGGCACATCACGTAACAGCTCGCTTAACTAACATAAAGTCATATAATGTGAGACCGAGTCATGTCACTAAGAAATTATGTAACATTAGTTACGTGACTAAAACCGCGCAACATTGCGTAATAGCTCGTCACTCCACATATCCACGATAAATATTACGTAACCACTAGGCAGCTCGTCACGTGACTAAAATCACTTAGTCTCGCAACAGTTAGTCTTGAGATATGTCTAGCCATACTTACCTCGACTGGCGAAAACTTAGCATCTCTAGTAAAGGCATGGCATTATATTAAAACTTAGTCAAGTCGAACACTGACTCATCTGATGGTTCCGGCATTGCGCCACTACTGCAAGCAACCAATGTTTTTTTTTTTCTTCAGGCGCTACTGCACTTTCCGTTTTACTCACTCGATTCGTCCCCGCAGCGTTTCTTTCTCCCCGCCCTCGCTTCAGCAGTTGTCCTCCCGTTCTTGCTTTAATAACATAGAGGAGAGGGAACGAAGCATATAGACCTATTCCATGTCGTAAACAGTGGTAGGCGCCATCGACATTGTGAGACGCTTGAATTGACGTCGCTTCAAGCGCCTCAGTATGTCGATAGAACCTAAGGCTGTTTACAAACATAGAGGTCTATACACACAAGCGCTAAGAGAAGCAGTTGCCGCCTTTAAGAACACAACTCCGAGACGTCATTGCTGAGACGTCGGTACCAGCACACCACGTCTTAACAAAATTTTAAAGACGATAGTCTTTCTTGGGGACCTTCGACGCAAAAATGTTGGTCTGTCTGTCTGTACATTTGTCTGTTTGTCCACTTTTAACAACATCGGGTATTCGAAACGACCGACCCCATCCGCAGCGCCCTACTATGAGGCTCTAGCTTTAGCATTCATACTTGTGCAATTGTCGATTAAAAAGCAATTGTTGCGCATGTCTGGGGCACCATAACAACACATAACAACACATATTGCCTTGTGGCAATATATTCTGCATGTGCGCCTTTTTACTAGACAAAACTTTCATAAGTAACTTTAAGGACCGTAGCGCTTATCACGCTGCGCTGACTATGCAACGCTTGCACGGAAAGGGAGTGTTTCCAATGCTTTGCTGAAACGAGCTGGTGTGTGCGCCTACCTTATCACCTCTGAGACGGACGCGCACACGCGTCTCAGAGCCACGCGCTTTGTTTTTGAAAAAAAAAAAAAACTGCCTTATGACGCTCATGTCTCACGTGTGACGTGACTTGATGCGCTCGTTCAACTTCGCTGCGAGCTCGAGGAACTCTAATGCGGCGCCTCTAGAATACCATTCGCCGATTTTCTTGAGCAGAACATCAACTAAATGTTTTGTTCACTCTCTCCACACGCAAGACTATCGTCTTTCGGCGACATTTGCTGATTAGGTGCAGATACGGGGCCAATTTTTTTTTTCATTTGCAGGAGCATATAGTGTATATGCGTATAATTAAATATATACCCCTACATCCCTACAAGCTTATCTTTGTAGCTGTTGGCTAATTACTCTGGTGCTTTTTGTTTTACTTGCAGCTCGTCAACATAATCGCCAACATGCAAGAAAACCACGCTTCGGGAAAAATTTGCCCATATGTCCGGAAAACTAACACTCCTGAAGAATGCAACTTGTCCTTAGAACCAGGTATGTCAGCTGTATCCACGCCATTGTCTGAATGTTGGTGTTAACTTGTGTTTATATATGTACGTATGACAACATGCTTTTTCTATTCTCCTGCCTATAGAGATCAAAAACATCCTCATGAACTCCCGAAATTACAGCGAGCTGCTGCACGTTTGGAACGAATGGCGGAAGGTTGCGGGCAAGCCCATGAAGAAAAATTACCTTCGTTATGTCGAACTCTTGAACGAGGCGGCCAGATTGAACGGTAAGATTGGGTTAGCGGGGGCCAGATTATTTCAGGTCAATAATTTTAAATGGTGCAATATAAAACCGTGGGCAGGGCACAGGAAAATGCCATCAACCTAATCTTTGCATTCAGTGTATATTGGAAGCGGAGGCATACTCTCTTTATGGAGAAATGAAGGTGGAGGGAAGTGGACTCCGATGAGCTATACTGATAAGTTATGGTTCTGATCGCACTTTCATTTACCCAAAGTTCGTTATAACACTGTGCTACGTTTACAGAATAAAATCAAACTGTAATTTGTGGTGTCGGCGTTTCCAAAAATGGGGTGTGTGTGGAATGTTGAGGTGTGGTTAGGAGGCTTTGACACCTATTGCTTCTAAGCCGTAGTTCGCATGGTGGGAAGAGGGCCACGCGTATCGCGTTTCGCCTTCATACCCCAGCTGTAACTGACGCCTCTAGTGGAGCAGTGCGAACTCATTAAAATGCAGATTAAACTGCCGCTGCGAGAGACAGAGTAACTGTAACTTGGTATTTGTGAACCATCTGTCTTGAAATGCTTTCAAGAAGCCTACGAAGAGAACATTAGAAGTTGTATCGTAAATATGCTCGGACCTGCGTAGTTAATAGCACACCTTGTATTGTTGGCTGAGACTGACAGGATATATATACAGTACATGGAATTCAGTTTTAACAGATTAAGCCCGATTTAGTGTACCGCAGATTGACCCTTGCCCGGGGCCCGTTCACTGTGGCGTCACTTCGTGGTTCTAACAGGACAAACATTCAACTGCCAGTGTTCCAAAATAAACTGCAGGCAGAAATTTTTACTCGAGCTACTTAGGCATCTTAGCTCTAGGGAGCTTCACCACAGCTACAGCACCGAAAACATGAAATGAGAAGTGGTACGTTTACGTCCCGTTGTCCAAGAAACGGGTCAAACTCCTAATGACACCAGTTTCCGAAAGTGACTCTGCTGCGCCATGTAAACATCCTGTATTCTGGCATGGCTCGCAAGTGTAGAGCTCTGGAAATGCCCATATCTAATTTGGATGATAAAGCCCATTTACATGATGTCAGGTTACAAAGTCTAGTTTGGCGACTTTGCTAGATGTGATGACGTCAAGTACATAAGCATGCAAAATGGCTGCTGTGAGTCATCAACGTAGCCTTGGAGCAAAGCAGCCGTGGAAGTGTCACGATATCTTGCGCGAGCACGTGGTCAGAAGCTCATACAGTGCCGTGACGTCAGGGTACACTAGGAGCCCTAACGAATTTTTAAACAAGATATGTAACTAGAGTGCAATCACACTTCCCAATGCATTTTCTACGCCCTTGAGTGAATGGAGTTTTACTGGGCGCAAGAAAGGAACTGGAAGTTTTCGTATCAGTACCCCTTTAGCAGCACCACCTGCTACTGCTGCTACTACGGTGTTACTACGCTGTTGTTATGACGCGGTTACTACAGTTAGGGCTAGAATTTTTACCTCTCGCTCTTTGCCGCTTTCCCTCCCATGTGGAGAGTGGCCAGTCGAAACGTTGCTGCATTTAAGTGCATTCTGTCCTGGCACTCCAGTTCTCACACTGAACAAAGTAAAACAGCGTGCTTAGCTTGTCCAGTAGGAATCCTGCAATCCTGCGATACTTATGTGGGGCAAGCAAAGCACTTTTACTTCATTTTTTTATGTTTTCGTACACTTCTTCCACCCAACTCTGCTTTAATGTATGGCGTTCAACGGGAAATGCATGTAAAACTGACGAATTTTCGCTCGTTTATTTCTCGCAGGCTTCCAGGATGCGAGCGGCATGTGGCAGGACGTGTACGAGTACGAGGCTCTCGAGAGTAACATGGCCAGGTTGTGGGAACAACTGCTGCCACTCTACCAGGAGCTGCACGCCTACGTACGTTCCAAGCTGCGCGCCATCTACGGCCCGGACAAGGTACCCGAAGACGGACCGATACCGGCACACTTGCTCGGTACGTTCCTCACGCGTGGCACACGTATGTACTACTAGGCTACGCACTGCACTGGAGCTTTTAAAGCCTGAATTGAAACTTGCTCATCCGTGACGCAGTTAAGCAGCAGCTGCCTACAACACATCGAGTGGGTAAGTGCCGAAGAGCTCCTAGCATACCATATCATAGTATAGTGTAGTCTACAGGAAGAGAGCGAAGAGAATTTGCAACCACTGAGCTATCACGGCGGCTATACCCCCAGCCACTATGGTATATCAATATGGTATACAGCAAGCTGTATACCATATTGGATCGGATTAAAAGATGAAAATATGTGTGGAACAAAGCAGCACTTTGAGTTAGTGGAAGTGAAAGCCCGCTCATGTATACTATTTGCGCAGGTCACATTCACTCTCAAGATTGGAGTGGGATAACCGAGATCACCCGTCCATACCCAAACAAACAGGCCATTGATGTCACGAATGCTATGAAGGCACGGGTAAGTACTGCACAAGCTTCCTTTATACGATGTATCCGGGCTAACGTGCGTTAGCGAATCTAGCAAAAAGAAAAAAAAAGAGAAAGCTAAGCTCAGTTTGACGAAGTGGAATCCTAGGAAACAAGAGCTGGGATTGTTCCTTCGGTGTTTTTGTTTTGAGTTCGGAGCACATTAGAAGTCCGGGCTGTCGTAGGCTGTCGTCGCTTGGCGTCACGCACCGGGCAAGACCATGTATCAAAATAAAAAAAAAGCAAGCAAGGAAGAAGCAGTAAGAGATGATATGAAGAAAGTAGAAACAAAGAAGAAAATGCAGGAATAACTGGTAAAGAGAGAGACAGAGAGGATGATAGAAAGAGAAAACCAAAGAGAAACCAAGGAAGCTGCCTTTCTCCGCAATTCCTTCGATCATGGCACCACTAGAGTGACACTTCCTTTCATTTCTCTGTTGGACGTGTATTTTACTGTGATTCTTGATGTTTCCGTTTGACGGTGGTTCTCTGGCGTATCTCACCGTGGTGGACTTCGTCCCCTTTGCGCTTCGTTTTCTGGAACCTCCTGGCTTCCCTCCGCTGCTGCCTAGCTCCCTGCTCTCGCATCTCGGCGTTTGCTTCTCGACGTCGGCAGTGACGTCCCGCTATTTTGGGGACAAGGAAATTCCCTCTCTGAAGCATTTTCCTGCGTACGCTGACAAAACTCCCAGCATGCTTCCCTGCAAACTTGTACTACTATATATGCACGCACCCTTCCACGGAGGCATGCATATGTGTGATGTGGTTGCGGTTGTTGAAATCATGAAATAGCGCCGGTGATCCTGCACAACGAAAGCATCTTTTTTTTTCGGAACTCATGTGCTGTGAGTACATTGCACATTGTGGACTTCCAGTGAACGCCGGGAGTCAAGACCACGCGGGTTTGCTTCCCACTATCATTCGTTTTCGCCGCCACAGATAACTCAGTCTTACACCTCCGCGTCTGGGCAGCCAGAACACGCGCTCAGCGTCCTTATCAAACCGTGCGTAACCGAAGCAGCCCAATTTAGGACGTTTTATGGATACCTTGCTAAAGTGATTTCCCACGTCGAGAACACCCATTCATTCATTGGTTGCGCGAGATGGACGTTTTTCTTAATTTTGACAACGAGTGTGGCCCACGAGGTAATTATCGCAGTACAAAAGCTTTAGACATCCTTGATGATGAAGCGTGAAACGGTGAGCACTTCTGGAAACATTCACTAGTCAGCCCTCGTTGAGCGACGAAGAGGAAAATATAGCAGACAGGGAGATTCCTACTACTGTAGAGAGTCGCATCGTGGCCCTGGAGACCCAGGTGAATGCAATAAAACACAATTGGCCGACCTCCCCAAAGTTATCCACGACACCATCGCGCGTCATATAGAGACTGTCATCACACAAGTGACACAAACAGTAACTCACATTATCCAAAAGTGGATACAAGAAAATCCACGCGTCCTTAAGCGCGTAGGGGGGACGTTAATCGCTCCTCAAAAGTTAACAGAGTGACTCCAGATGAGTCTGACTTTTCTGAAGACTCCAGCACGTCAACACAGGGTGCTAGTGAACTGAGTAATCTTAACAACACAACCCCACCCTCCATCTCCAAACATGGCCCCCAACCCTAGGAGTGTGGCAGCTTGGGCTAGTTGGTAAGGCATGACGATAGTTATAGCGCGAGAACAAAATGACGACACAGAGACAAGAAGGACATGAAAGACACGAGCGCTAACTTCCAACTGAGTTTATTGCGCAGAGCACGAAAATATATGGAGGAGACAGTAACCATGTGATAAAAACCATATGGCACAAAGAGCAGAACATGAGTAAGAAAAACAAAAACAAACAACACAAAAACAAAAGCACTGAAAAACAGTGAAGAAAAATCTAGAAGAAAACAAAACAGAAAGGTAAAGATAATATAACTACCTGCCCGCACCGAAACCTCCGAGGAACCTGCGTTCCTTCTCGGACAAAGCCACGGAGGGCTTGCTAATACAAGGCACCTGTTTGCGTGCCATCTGCGCGGCCTCGACAATGACCCGGGTGCTTTCATCTCTGTGTTTGTACAGCGTCGCTGTGTCCTTGAAGAGGGGAACACAATTGCACTCAGTGCAGTGCTGAGCAAGAAAACCATCTTTCCCGTTTCTAACATTGTTCGCGTGTCGCTGTGTCCTTGAAGAGGGGAACACAATTGCACTCAGTGCAGTGCTTAGCAAGAAAACCATCTTTCCCGTTTCTAACATTGTTCGCGTGTTCTCTCAGCCGATAATTGCACTCAGTGCAGTGCTTAGCAAGAAAACCATCTTTCCCGTTTCTAACATTGTTCGCGTGTTCTCTCAGCCGATCGGCTGAGAGAACACGCGAACAATGTTAGAAACGGGAAAGATGGTTTTCTTGCTAAGCACTGCACTGAGTGCAATTGTGTTCCCCTCTTCGAGGACACAGCGACGCTGTACAAACACAGAGATGAAAGCACCCGGGTCATTGTCGAGGCCGCGCAGATGGCACGCGAACAGGTGTCTTGTATTAGCAAGCCCTCCGTGGCTTTGTCCGAGAAGGAACGAAGGTTCCTCGGAGGTTTCGTTGGGGGCAGGTAGTTATATTATGTTTACCTTTCTGTTTCGTTTTCTTCTAGATTTTTATTTTTCTTTGCTGTTTTTCAGTGCTTTTGTTTTTATGTTGTTTGTTTTTGTTTTTTCTTACTCATGTTTTGCTGTTTGTGCCATATGGTTTTTATCACATGGTTACTGTCTCCTCTATATATTTCGTACTCTGCGCAATAAACTCAGTTGGAAGTTAGCGCTCGTGTCTTTCGTGTCCTTCTTGTCTCTGTGTCGTCGTTTTGTTCTTGCGCTATAACTATCGTCATCCCAACCCTAGGTCACGAGCCAGGGCAACTCAGCCGTTGTTACTAACGCAGTGGAACTGCAGAGGTCTCAAGAACCACAAGAAGTGGGCTCATTTCCGCCTTTATCTTGAGACCTTTGAGTTCCTCGTTGCCGTGGTTGCCCTTCAGGAACCCGGCACGGACGTCAAACTCACAAATTACACTACATTTCAACACAACCCGGAGACATGTATACTTGTTCACAAGCAATATACCGCCCAGGAATTCACACTCCCCACAACACCGCCTTTCCCATACTCGATGGTGCCGGTGCTGCCTATAAGGCGATCTGACCCACCTGTTCATATTTTAAACATTTACTGTCCCCCAAAGCTCAAGAACGTCACGTTCAGCGCAACTTTCACACAAGCTATGCAGGTGGCAGGAAGAGACCCCCTCCTGATCGTCAGCGACTTCAATGCCCCAAGCAGGTCATGGGGTTACCCACGAGAGGACACGCGTGGAAGGAAGCTTGCGGAACTTCTTTCTACACTTGGACTCACCCTCCACACTGATGTCGCCAGCCCAACACGTGTAGGCAACTCTGTTCAACGAGATACTTGCCCGGACATCACAATTACACACAACATATGCCATGCTGACTGGCTGAACACACAGGACACTCTCGGTAGTGATCATTGTGTATTAAGCACAACCGTGTGCATGCGTCCCTTAAAACGCCCACTTACACAAGCTCATATCCCAGACTGGACAACTTTCCGCACCACTCTACCTATTGTAGACCCTCTCCAGTCGGGATACGACACCTGGTCTAAATCACTGACGTGTACACTGAAACAAAACGAACGGCTGATACAGCTCACGGAAACTCAAACGGACGTGGACAACCACCTCCTCCATCTTCGGCAGGCCCGCCGTAGCCTCACCAAACGATGGAAAAAACAGAAACATAACAGACGCCTCAAGAAACGCATCCTAGAACTCACGGAGCAAGCTGCGGAATATGCTGCTCAGCTAGCCGACACTAACTGGGTGGACAGGTGCAACACGGCTACACGCCAGATGTCTGGTCGCAACACGTGGCGCCTGTTTCGCGCTCTCATCGATCCAACACAAACACGCACGGAAACTCAACATCACTTACATAAGGTCACGCACAACTTTACAGGAACGACAACACAGCTGGCAAACACGTTCACGGACCGATACCTGTGCACCACCAAGGACCCCCGGACGGCCACATACTCTTACGCAGGCAAAAAGAACACGCAGTTAGACACCCCGTTCCAGCACCACGACCTCCAGGCAGCCTTACGCAAGATGAAGCGTGGCACTGCACCAGGGCGTTACCAGGTTATGGTCAAACTGTTGGCCAATCTTCCCGACGCAGCCTACGCCACCCTCCTCAAATACATCAATAGCATTTGGGACGGAGAAACTCCTCTCCCTCTTGAATGGAAATCAGCTCTCGTGACTTTCATCCCGAAGGCAGGTAAACCTATTGACGTGGAGAACCTTCGCCCCATCTCCCTCACGTCTTGTGTCGGCAAGCTGATGGAAACGATGGTGCGCGACAGACTCTCCGAGTTTCTAGAAACACAGCACATTTTTGCGGACACCATGTTTGGTTTCCGCCCTCAGAAGTCAGCCCAGGATATACTTCTACAGCTCCACCATGACATATTAGATCCTGTTGAATGCTCCCACAATGACAAGGTAGTCCTGGCCTTGGATCTTAAAGGGGCATTCGACAACGTGAAGCATGAGGTAATCCTTGACCACCTCAGTCAGATCAACTGTGGTTATAAAACATTCAATTATGTTAAACAGTTTCTTACAGACCGTCAAGCCTACATACGCATACAAGATGAGGAACATGAGCCTTACGTCATCGGCTCGAGGGGAACTCCTCAAGGCGCGGTCCTCTCTCCCCTCCTATTTAATATAGCCATGCTTCATCTTCCCCACAAATTGGCTTCTCTACCAGGGATACATCACGCTCTTTACGTGGATGATATCACGATCTGGACCACGCAAGGTAACCTGGGTCACATGGAGTCATGCCTGCAAGCAGCAGCGACTGTAGTCGACGACTACGCAACCTACTGCGGACTCCAGTGTGCCCCGGCTAAGTCAGA